TACACGAAAAGTTCGGTTGCTCAAGTAGGATTCTAGAATCCTAATCACGAATAAAGGCATGCCTGCCGACCACATTTTGGCGACAAACCCTTCTATTCAAACTTCATCGAAACCTTTTTTGATATCTAACAGGACCATAACTGTATTCTTCCCCTGGTTGAAGGACTCCCTCACCCCGTGAACAACCCGGACCAGTTGCGATGTCGTATTCCGACCTCGCCGGAACCCGAATTGCTCCGCGGGGATGAGTTTCATCCTATCTTCCAGACGGAGAAGTCTGCTTAGGATGATTTTATCAATAACCTTCGCGACCGAACTGAGAAGCGAGATTGGTCGGTAGCTATCAAAACGTATTTTGATTTTTCTTGGTTTCGGAACGGGCACTACCACCGCATGTTTCAGACATTCTGGGTAATGCTGTTACTTGATTATTGCGTTCACAATATTGTCGCAACTCAGTTCTCGCTTGGCTATTAACGAGAGGATTTTTATTTGCTGTATCACCCGCTCATTTATTCATTCCAAATAATGAAAGAACTCATTTAAAATTTAATAAAATATTTATTGTGAAAGAAACGGAAAAATACTTTAAATAAACTCACACTCAATGTTAATAAAAAAAATACATTAAAATAATCAAAAAACTTACATTACACTGCCACCCAGCAGGATTGAAGAAAAGGAGATGTGCTGCATTTCTGATGACCCAATCGATACGTAAAATGAATACTGTCTGTTGACTGTTAACTGTTAATGATCTTGACCTCCCTCAATATTTATAAAGAATTATACGCTGACATTGCGACTTTGATCCGGTCACTGTACTGAGGTAAATATGCAATCTGTGCCAAGTTTGCATATTTGGAGATTGTTTTATATTCCATATCCTGTGATCGGATCAATTTCGACGTCTATGAACTTGAAATATCAAAAGATAGAATTCTGAATACTGAGTGTTCTTGTATTTACCTTGTTTTGCTTGGTTCCATATAAACACTCAATGCCCTTTGGTATAATAATTTACCACCCTATAGAATCGGAAGTGACGATTTTTTTTAGGTTTTTCAAGATACTTTGCAGTTTATATATGCTGTTGACCACTTATTATATAAAAAAAGTTGAAAACAAAAATTACAATAATTGGTCCTATGAAGGGTTAAAAGTATCTTCCAGGCAATGATGATGATTAGTTTGCCCATATTCACTCTTTACTTGTAGAACTATTCAGTGCTGATTGATACATTGCTGCAATTGTTTGAAAATTCTTTAGCCCAACCCGAAAAGTTCTGCATCAGTGAAAGACGCTTTTGGACCCCAGTGTTATGACGATTCCCAAATGACTTTACCTGGAACACCCTTGCCATCATTAGTTCAAGATTCAGGTGAAGAATTCACAGAATTATCAACACCGGTGACACCTTTGGAAAAAGAAAAGGTAAGATACTTATTGGTTAACTCTGTTCTGATGTTTAATTTTTTGGAATATGTTACTTGACTTGGAAATTATTGGTCATATTCGAAGATATACGTTTAGATTCCCATTATCATGGACAAGACTCCATTCATAGTTCACAAGACTTACTTATAAAATAGCTAATAGCTAGCTTGGCCTGAGATGAAAAACAGAGGTTGCATCTTTTGGTGCAACCAACTGATCTTCAGCCTTTCCTGTTTATTTATTGTATCATTATGGGAATAAAGACCTATCATTATTATTAAATTGTTGAATGACGTTAACGGAAATTCAAATTTGCTTGACAAGGTCATAATTGGTGACAAATCATGGGCATATGGTTATGACATCGAAACCAAAGTCTAATCGTCCCAATGGAAGAACCCGTGAGAGCCAAAACGAAAATAACACTTCAAATTCGATCAAATGTCAAGGTTTTGCTCACTTGTTTCTTCGATTACCGAGGCGTAGTGCATCAGGAGTTCTTGCCACATGCATGGTCAATAAGGAGTATTATCTTGAAGTTATGCGCCGCTTGTGAGAAGCAATACGAAGAAATCGTCCAGTATTATCGAAAAACAATTCATATCTTTTGTATCACGATAATGCACCTGCTCACTCGTCACTGTTTGTTCGTAATTCGTCAAAAACAACCCCGTAATTATGCCTTAGCTATCTCAGGAACCCATGAAATGGTGGCGGTTTGAGGAAATATAAACCGAATTGCTGAGAGAGCTTAAGGACATACTAAAAAGTGCTTATCAGAGCTGCTTCGAGGATTGAAAAAACGTTAGCACAAGTGTATTATATCTTAGGGATGGATACCCTAATTAATCACCTTAACAAAAATGGATTCTAGACAATTGCATACGCAGATGACATAGTTATCTTGCNCGGAGTTATCGTCAATAAGAGAGTGTGTGTTCGGCGAGTCTTGGCCTACACCTGCCGATATAAAGGAGATGTCTCCCAGCGACCTGTCCACCTTCCTGGAAAGGACAGGATGGACGACGACCTAGGAGGACAACTCCTTGGGAGGATGTACACTCACCCTCCCTACTCTACAGATACAGATATATCTTAGGGAGACTACTTCGATGAGAACAAAATAAAAATTAATGAGTAAATGAATATTTTTTGAGAAACATGTTTTGTTTTTTAACAAACCTCGTATTACTTTGCATCCTTTGAAGTGAATAATAAACGATTTATTTTTCATTATAATATGTAGTTGATTTCATTCAATCAGTTCAATGCCAAGAATATAATAAAATAGGGTGACTTGAGTTATCTAAGTCTTTGGTAGCAATAAATATTAACTATACCCCTTTGGAACTCTTTATCAGCAATATTGGTCGCCTTAGGGCGAGTGCCAATCTGGATAACAGTGTCCATATAGAAATATTTGTTTCGAAAGTATTGCGAAACAAATGCTTATTTTGAAATTGATTGCTTCCTTCCTTTCTTTGGAAGATTCCCACATTTTTTTGTATCAAGATGTAATATTAGGAAGCCAAACACTTTCTTTCCCAAAAATGTGTTACTGTTTGTCATTGTGTTTGTTGGCTCTATTCTCAAAAATGGCTCTATCGATTTTAACCGGTTTTCACTAATTTATTGTTATATCAGTTTAAAAGAATTGGGTCAAACATTTGTTGGAAACAATTCTATAAAGATGCTGTTCAGTTGATTTGGCTGAAACCTTGGTACACCATACATGTATTTATAGTTCATGAAAGACGTTTCTTATAATTTATATATAAGGCAAATACTTGATAACATTTTCCCATTATAAAATCTAGAAAGACACAAAAACTGAAGTCTTGGGCAACAGCTAGTTGATTCTACCAATGTCAATATCAAAAAATAATAATTCTTGAAAACAATGCCACCGTTTAGTTCCTCCAAAATACATTTTTTAAAGTTGAAATTAACCCGAATCCCTTAATTCAGTTTTGGTTGTAGACTCTTTTTTATGTTTTGAACAACTCATCTATCAATCATGTTTTCAAAGTAGATGCTGATTTTTCATAAGGTTGCAGATCCAGAGAGTTTATTTTTTCGAGACGGTAGAAGAAAAATCGATATGGTTCTTGTTTATGAGGAAGAAGAGTTAGGCGTTATGACAGAAGTGGAAGCTAAACGAAGAGACAAAAGGAAAATATTCCAGGTAAGTTTCAGCCAGATATTATGACTGACTGACTGAGTTGTTATTTCATATTCAGGAAAATCTGATGAAAGAAGGTTTAGAACTGGAGTTGGAACATAAGGATTTATCATTTGACGGCAAGACGTGGTTCCTCAAAATACATCTTCCTTGGAAAACTAAAACAAGATATGCAGCTGTGATGAATATGAAATTACCAATTAAAAGATTCATTACTATTTCAGTAAAAGCATGGGTGAGCTAAATGAGAATCATTGCTACCTAAAAATGCTTATTCTATTTTTTTATCGTATTTCAAATCAACTATTTCTTTGAATATTATAAAATTCTAATTTTGGAATCTACAGATCATTGAATGCGTGGGTATCTCATAGACGGTAAGATATTTAGAGTAACTTGAATTATGGCAAAATTGCCTCTTTTCGGGTACCATTGAATGATAACAAACATGTACTGTAGTTTCTTTGGTTCTGAATGAATACGGAAATAACCAAAAATTTCTAAATTCCATTTTTTTGCTGTATCTTGTAGAGATTTGTTCTGAATATCAGTTGACACTTTGCGATTGAAACTTTCAATGTACTTTCAGAATTTATTTACAGGGTATAATCAGACATAGGGAATTGTCAAGTATGTTTCAATCAAAATGAGCATCAACCACCAAGGATTATTAGATAGACAATTATTTACATAATGAAGTTTTCAGATGAGTGACCTATTTCATTATATCAAGACTAGCTAGAAGTGAGAGACGTAGATTGCGTATATGGGACTTCCATTAAAGTTTGTCAACGAGTAGTATGCCTAAGAACCATTTCCCTCATATGCATTCAATTGGATAACTTTATTTTTTTCGGGCAAGAATTGAAGTACAATTTGTTGTTCCATATCTCGATAATGTCTAGTGCCTAGTAGGTTGGGAATTGATATGTTATTTCCTGGAATATACCTTCAGTTCACCAGCGTAGACCACTCTCCAACTGGAGATTGGTATGTTTACATTAAGTCATTTATGGCAATCAAAACAAGTGTTGCACTCAGATTGGATCTTTGAGGAGTTCCCATTTGTTACACTCCTGGTTTGGATAAGTGACCATCGATTCGGACATGGAAAATTCGAATTTTAAGAATTTTTTTTATTATGAATGCCTCGGTAATATTAAAGAAGCTATGCACGAAAATACTTCGTGAATAGCAGATTCTGAAAATATTAGGTTATTCAGAGTGGAACGATGTTTCCGGAATCTGTACTGATATCATCACTATTGGAAAACAGAATCACTGAAAGATTCCCTGTAGTGATCGGCTAATGCCTCAGCGATTTCTTGTGATTGGGAGATATTGGTATTATTCCATTTTAAGTAAGAAATCGTTCAGTAAATTTTCGTTTCTTTTGTTCTTCTCATCGATATTCCATAACGATAGACGCAGGTGCTGAGCTCTTGATTTGAACTGAAACTATTTAGGGAATATAAGGAATTTTATACGTGTTGTCAAGGAATGAGTCGCTATCTTCTGTTTTCTAAAGACCTATTTGATTTAATTTTTTATTTTAGTGTTCGAGAATCTCATTTTTTTCTGTGGAGAATTGGTACGAGAATATATCCTCTAAAATGATCAATAGTTCATCCATATCATCCGTGTATATTTGTGCTACATTTAATATTTATTTTTTGTTTGCATCTGCAACTTTTTTGTATCTGGTTTCATATATTTTGCAATCGATCGATGATTCAACTTCGTTTTCTTAGTAGATATTGGGGTGGTCGCTGGGTTGTCCTCAGTTGTAGGTGGGGGAGTTGGGGATTGGGGGATGTTTTTTCTCCAGGATTTTTTGTCAGGTGTTTGATGGTATTTTGGTTGAAATTTGGGTCGTATTCAGATGTAACTAACTGACTGGATATATCTGTATTAAATACGAGTGAAGATGATATGTTTCCTATGGATTTGGACACTTTGAAGCTACATGCCCATTTTGCTCGCATTTGAAACGAATAAGTTCGTCTGGTGACAGAAAGATGCGGAAGGTTGTTTCGTCGTGTATTACGAGTATTAAATCGGGAATTATAACATTCGATTGAAGGAAATGTAGGTTTTCATACGAAAACTCTGTATATCTTTATATTGTAGATTATACGTATCTATTTAAATGAAGGTTATTGGTATTATCAGTTGTAAAGGTAGTTTTTGAAGTTCAATTTCTGCAATAGGGTGGGGAACTGAAGAATTTACATAAAAGATTACGAGTCTCTCATGTGAAAAGATCAATTTACGGGCTCGGAGAGAAGAGTTGCCGATAGTTATGAGCCGTCATGAGTGCATCTTCAACAACTTCTTCATTTGAAAAATATAAACAAATTCTGTTATTTAGGATTCTTGATGAAAATATGATGTATTTTTTTGGCTAACGCGATCGGGTAATCTTCCAATTTAGTGTTGTCTATTGAGTTGAAGATAATGTCTTGTTTTCTGCTTGGAAATGTTGGTACTGAAACGAGAGATGAGTATGACGGTTGTTGTTGTGGTGTCCCACTTGATATTTTTTGAGGGTTTTCGTTTTCAGAAAACTTCATTGCCATTTTATGAACTATAGATCAGGTCATTGATATTTTCGACGAGAGGGTTCTCAATAGGTGAATTACGTTTAATGAATATATAGAGGGCTCCAGGATATCTCCAGCTATCCATATACGTTTGGAGTATTTATTGAAACTAATAGGTAATCAAATTTTGGAATATTTCGGTACTGGTAAAACACTCGTTCTTTTGGCATATGAGCCAGGGATGAACTGCCGTACCTCAATGGAAATTTTGAATGAGGAACGAGTAACTTTTGTAGCAACTTTTTATTATATTTTTTCAATATAATATCATGAAATTACAGTTATTTTTTATTTTCTCGAGAGTTTCAGCTATTTTATTATCATTATACTGTATAAATACACCTGTAAAAGATGTAGATGCATTCATTTCTCCTGATTCAAAGCTCTCATGGGATTCCTGATCCTAAGAGAAGTATAATGTATAATAATGTATAATGAAAGCTTCGACAGGTTCTTATTTTCGAAGATACTGTATTACCTCTTTCTGATATTTTTTTATGATGATCGAATGAAAGTCCACGGCTAATAGAGAATTTCAAAAAAAGGTAACAAGTTGAGAAGTATAATGTATAATAACGTATAATGAAAGCTTCGACAGGTTCTTATTTTTGAAGATACTGGAGAAATAATTTTAGGTATCGGCTTTTGCTGGTATTTTTTATTTTGATAAATTTGAGTAACTTCTTACAAGCTTGAAAAAAAGGAGCACATTTTTTAATAGTTGCAATGAGAGCCCAAGAACAAAACATTCGTGATTCAACACCAAACAGAGCTGCCATATTTCTTATCAAAAAATCAAAGGCCAAAAATGGCAGATGGAAAAATACAGGTTCGCATCCAAAATATCGAGGAGGGTGTCGCAAGTGTGACAATATATCCTTTATGAAAATTCTATTACCGTATTCTGGGAGTACAATGAAATTTCCAATAGCAAAGAGATTTTCAATATCTCTACGATGAAATAAAATGAAATTTTCGCTTTTTTCTATCTATCTCCGGAACCAAAAAAACTATTGTCAATTTTTTAGGATTATCAAAAAGTATCCGAAAATAGAAAACTTTGATACGATTTAGCCTACCCCCTATCTCTTACTTTTACGAGAACTCCATACATAGTTATGAATTGAAAATGAATAATTAGGTAGCTATTTTCTATTGTGTTACATAAGGCTGTGGATAACTAAAAATTTATTTAACTATCAATATTTCATTTAGGATGACAAAAAAGATCAATCCATAACAGATACTATATATTCAAAATGGCAAAAGAGATGGAAGGACTTCTTTGAATATGATCATGACTTAATTAGTCAAGAACCGTCATTTTATGATGCAACTGAAGGTGGGGATCGGGAAGAACAGTAAGCAGTTTTATTGAAAAAATTCTGCAAATTATGTTCACCTCCATTTCAGATTCGTTGTGAAAGATAGAGTAACAAGTTATTCCAGTGCTCAAAGGAGTTTGATAGTAATGCAGATTTTACTAAGGGTGAAATTTGATGATACGGATAAGGTATTTTTTTTAATTCACCTTCATTTGAGAATATTATAGAAATATACCACGATATTTTCTTTTCATATAATTATGAAAACTAAAACCATTATCACATACTTAATATTTGTTTTGAGATGTCAATCCATGCAAACACATTACAGGTTGGGATACGAAGACTTCTGAATGATTCCACGTACATCGCATGTTTTCCACTGCATGAAGGAAGATGGAATAAAGAAGCCAGTGATGGAAAATTATTGGATAGAAGGGTGAGTGAATTCTGAAGCTATATATGAAAATACAAATTGATAGTGATCTTTTATCATGAAGAAATAAATACATTAACATCATCAGGAGCACCTATAATTTTTTTTTCTGTGTTATCAGTTAATGAGCGGTTAAGGTTATATCAAGTATGGTGAATACATTCAAGGAGTAGAAAGTTAACAATATTTCTTCTCAAATTTAAATGTGTTCAAAAATTACTTCTCTTTTATAATTGAAATCTAGGTGTCTCGGATTAAAGTAATTAGATTCAACTATGAAGTAATATGAACATTGTGTCAAATATTTAAAATATATGCAGAGTTCGAGTGAATCATTTTCACAAATACTTCTGGTTTATAAAAAAACATCGTGGTCACAAAATTTTATTAATGATATTTAATATTTCTTCCTTCATTTGGAAGTTTTTTAATATTTACATGAACGGAGAAATAGAAAGTCAAAACGGCTATTTAGAGATCAACTTTTCTAAAATAAAATGGACATGATATACTATGTATTCTTAGAGCCTACTCTTGTTGCTCTGGTTTTCACTTCATGATTGGGTGCCATCATTTTTCATCTTTCAGATATTCCTTCAATATAATAAAGTGGCTAATTGCAAACTACCTCATTTCCGAATATTTTGGGTTAAAAATCGTATACGAACGCACAAGGAATGATGTGACAATAAAAAAGATTATTATTTTTGTATTTAATATGTCAATTAATCTTTCACACATATTTGATAGGTTTGATGTGCACCAATGACAAATTTCGTTTTTTGCTTGTCTTTGATATATATGGTCAATCATTAAAATTTATTACAGTTATTGTATTTGGAATGGGCAAGACCAGGGAGATGGATGAAAAGACAACCTCTTCATTTAGTCAGAAAATATTTTGGAGATAAAATTGCATTATATTTTTGTTGGTTGGGTTTCTACACGAAAATGTTATTTGCTCCCGCAATAGTTGGAACTTTATGTTTTTCATATGGTATATTCACTATTGATGGCGATGATAATATACCAACGTAAGTCTGTTAGTTGAATCTTCTCACCAGATATTATATATGTATTTTTACTTAAAGGAAAGAAATCTGTGATATCAATATTGCTGGAAACATAACGCTGTGTCCAATGTGCGATAAGGCCTGTAAATATCAAAAACTAAAAGATAGTTGTAAATTCGCTAGGTTAACATATCTCTTCGATAATCCAGCAACTGTGTTCTTCGCCATTTTCATGAGTTTGTGGGGTATGTATGAAAACACTTTTTCTTACTTGCATTTTTTATTAATTGTGTGGTATAAAAAAATAGAACTTTTTAATTGATGTATTTCTATTTGAATTAAAAGGGGAATATTTCTAGCAGAGATTTCATTTTGATAAAATAGCTTTCTGGTTCATGTCTTTACAAATATGTGTAGATTATGCCTGGAATTTTCCTATTTTTTGCATGAAGACAGAGAAGCAGAAAGCCATGCATTTCCAATATTGATTCCATTATTATTTTTCAACTCGTTCAAATTGGGGAAATAAAATTGATCCTCGTGTAAATGGAAAAACGATAAAATTTATGGAAGTTCAACATCAAAGATATAATTACATATCAATGAAATCGATATTAATCAACTATTATTTAGTCAATATAGATAAACTCATAATTCTACATGGCTAGATATACAGCATACATACCCAAAATAACAAATGAATAATGAAAATTATTCGGGGTGGATTTATTGGATATTTGAAATGTATTAGTATTTCATAAAGTTAAACAACTCGTATATGTATCCTCATTTTTTTTTAATGGGAGACAATACCTTGAGTTACCTGTTACGTATCATCGACTCATATTTTTCATGGATCGTGGATGGGTTCTAAATGAAATATAATCTTTGAATTGAAATTGGAGTACTAGAAATTGGATTCATTTCATTTCAGCGACTGTATTTTTGGAATTGTGGAGGAGGAAACAAAGTGTTATTCAGTGGGAGTGGGACTTGCATGGTACAGAACAAGATGAGGAACCAAGGCCCGGTAGGTAATAACAAATAATAACAAAATCATATGTCACACTTTTGTTATTATAGAATTTGAAACGAGTGTCAAAACATTTAGAACTAACCCAGTTACAAGGGATAAAGAACCATATTTACCGACATGGTCCAAAGCTGTGAGACTAGCTGCCACTGGATCAGTGGTATTTTTTATGGTAAGATTACGAGTATTAAAACATTATGATTTAAAATCATGTCAGACATCAAAGCAAATTATTTGTTTCAGTTAGTTGTAGTTTTATGCGCCGTTTTGGGAACAATAATTTATAGACTGTCTCTTGTATCAGTGATATATGGTAGTGAATCTTTTTTCCTGAAAAAACATGCCAAAATATTGACGTCTGTATCAGCAGCTGTCATTAATTTGATAATAATCATGTGTCTTACTAGGGTGAGTAGTGAATTGGACGCCTGCACTTTCATATATGCCCATAAATGACAACCGTTGAAGGGTGTATAATTCAAGGAGACATTAATTTTTGGGAAAAAAAGGTTTTGGTTTTCTACTTCTTCATATTCATACAAAAAAATGTGGGAATTCTCCAGAAGAAGGAAGGAATCACATTTTGTTGTATAAAGAAGAAGAAAGTCAAAACCTTTCTTTCCCAAAAAAGTGTATTGTTTATTCACAAAATGAAAAATCACATCTGTTTTTAAAAATCTGTTCTTAAAATCTGTTTTTCGGTTAATCAGCTGTCGCCCCTATACGAACGACAACTCTCAGAAGTTGAGAAACATGTGCGAGCTAAGGACAAACGAGGTCTTACCTTACCTTACGTGTGATTCCTACATGTCAGAGTATTCTAATTTACATATAATAACACAAACAAAAAAATCATTTAATCGTTGTGAAGATATCATGAATTTAATAATTATTTGTCAGATGTTTTTGGATAATTAAAAGAAGCTTTATGTTTTATTTCGCAGTAAAGAAACATCACGTTTTTACATTATTTTCTATCAATCAAGCCCATTATATAAAATACAATTATACATCTAACACATCATATCTAGAAATTAATAGGCACTGTAACCTTGGTTCTACTACCTTTGCATAGTGGAGATTGCACATTTCAAGGGTTCATTGAGAAGTATATCAAGAAATTCAAAAGCTTTAGTTTCTTAATTTAATATATTTCCATCAACGGTAGCAGCTTGTCACCTCTTCTGCCTATTGTGAAAGCTCAATATTTTTGTCTTATCAGAGTCCTGAAAGTTAATTACAATAGTTATTCAAACAATTTTGCAACTATTTACTGCAACCAGTCTGTAATTCTCAACAGGTTTTTGACCATTTTGACACAAATGGTACAATTTATATAAAGCCAAACTGATTGAATATACTCATTTTGTTAATAAATTCATTCCTCATAAAAGGATAAATAATATTATTCCATAAATTATACAGTGACTTATTATATTTGGCACAATGAAACCATAGCACATGATATATTTAAAAAGCAGTATATGAAAGTGTAGTTTCATATTTCATACTTGTTTTCACATATAAGGCACATTAGAATATTGACTCATTTGCTATAAGGGTTGGTTGTATGGAACGCATAAGAAATTCATTATTTCGCAAATAATGTAGATTTTGACAATCTTTCAACAGCTTTATTTATATTTTCAAGAGAGTAAGCGCAAAAATCTCAACATCGAATTTTAATACACGTGCAGCTTAGCCAATCTAGAGACGAGATGAGCGAACGATAAAGAGAGATGTAAACTGTCCACTAACTAACCATTGTCTAATATGATATAAAATGATTTGATATCCCTTTCAGGGATTTTATGAAACATTATCAACTACCATCAAACATATTTCTTAGAAACAGTTTCTCTGATTTTTTTCACATCTGCATAAAATTTCTAGTTACACTAGCTTGGTAACAACTATTTGTTCTATCCAGTAACGGTTGAAATTGTTGGTGTTTATGGCCCGGAGTCTGTTATTCGTTTATGAACTCGGAAGAAGAATAGACCAAGCAGCAAAAGATCACCGTTCTACATCTTTTTTGATTCTTCACATAATTTTGATGAGATCATGCATTGCCTTCATTTCAGTCCGGAACTAAAATCTCTTCGAAACAAGCTGAGATATGTAGATATTCATCAGTCTCATATCAAGGTTAATTCGCAAGTGATTGATCCACCTTCTTCTTGTCAGTGCGGTCAATGGACTCAGGTCATTCTTGCCCCCCAAATATGAGTTGCAGTCCTAGTGGTTCTAATTTCCTTTCAGTGGAAGAGCTTCATGAAGCAAGAGCCGTATCGATCCCTCTACGAAACCCTTCATCACTTAAAAGGATCGATTGCAGTTTGAGAAATGATTCTTATGCAGATTCTGTGGAACATGTTCTTCCTTATCTTGAGAATAAAATTGGATTAGATAATTTAGGAAGCACTTGCTACACGAATAGGTTTTTACAAGTGTTGTTCATGACAAAGAATTTCAAGAACGAGGTTTTAATGATGAACGAGAACGAGAATATTTCCTACTTATTTCTATTTCTTCGTAAGAATATATCATCTTCCCCTTCAACTGATTTCCTGGAGTATTTGTAGTCCACTAGATACTCGTTAGGACAACAAGACGATTGTTCGGAATTCTTGGGGTTCTTGTAGAATACTTTTCGTGAGCAAAACAAAAGCAAAATCAATACTCCTGACCGCTTTGGATTGAATGAATCTGTACAGTCTATCTCGTCTTGTGTTTTTGAATCTATTGATGGAAAAATCACCACTTGTTTACTTTGTAGTAAATGTTCAAGAGGTGGCAAAAACGTTTGTGAATTTCTGGAACTTCAACTAGCGTTTCTCAATATGACTAATAACCAGTCCATGCAAAGCTTATTGTTAAATCATCTGAAAATGACACTTTTAACAGGTGATGATCGATTGTATTGCCGAACATGCGCCAAACTAACTGACTGTTATGAGAAAACAAGTGTAGCTGAGGCGACTGTCAATCTAATAATAACACTGATAATCTTCAAAATTGACTCAACCTCTGACGGAAGCACCAAACTCTTACGAAGGTACGAAATAGATGAACACTTCAATCTAGCAGACCACTTTTATAATAATCTTCATTGTTCACTGTGATTCTGGCGTTGAATCTGGTCATTATTATGCCTTGGTCAAAGACGAAACGGACTGATTTAAATTTGACGATAGTCGTGTCACCAAGTGTTCTGGCGGTGTATTGAATTTATTGGAGTCTATGGAGACACCCTACATTTTGTTTTATGATAGAGAGGACATTGGCAGATCTAGATATTAAGATGATGTGGTGCTGCAGGTTTTTCCGGATTTTCTTGCAGCTGAAAAAGTGAATGCGCCCCGGAGCGAACATTAATTTTTTTTGTTGTTTCATAATTTCATGATTTGTATTTTAGAAGTGTAATTATATAAAATTCAAGGGATATCTAATATAGTGACAAGTCGATATATAGCAAATAACGTATGAGGTTGAATATTGTAATCCTCGGCTGCGCCTCGGATTATAACAACCGAATCCGTTATTTGCGCATCGGCCGTGTGTCGTTCAAGACTTTTTGAAATCTCATTGGAAGATTACATTTGGAGGAAAGAAAAAACCACGTACACTTGCTTTGAAAGTTTATGACAAGATTAGTTTTTTAAATCTTACACCATATTTGAGTGTTACCTACAGAAATGGTATTTTCAGATTTATAAAATTATTTTTGTTCTTGTGACGAAAATCTGATGAATACACACCAAAGAAAGCAAAAATTTTGTCTGAAGAAGAAGTAACTAAGTTTTGTTGGAGGCAGATGATCTTACATGGATGCTCTTAACGGTCAACGGCCGTTAAAACATCTTAACGAACAAATCCTTCATCAATATGGATACTTGGTATTAATTTTTTTCGAATATATATCACATTTAACAATGTGAATGATCTATTCTGAATGTTCATTTTTTGCTAAATAATGAATGTGTTCCATAACTAAGCCACACATTATATGTATATAATTTATTCTTAGAGCACCTTACACATGCAACTACAACAGTTTTTTTGACGACTGAAAATGATAATTTATTATACAAATGTTAAAAACTTCAATATACCTACGGGCATAGATCAGCTACATCAACTATATTTATGGTAGGTGATATGCATGTTGGATGAGACAAAAATGTTTTACCGAAAGGGATGCAACAATAGTTCCTCATTCATTATTTGTTCTGATTGTCTATGAGAAACTTGTGGATTACATGGGTAAATCCTACAAAAATAACATTCACAATCCAAAATGGAAAGTCTACTTATATCATCACTCGGTACAGTACCGTTTCATCGATAGAGACATACGACTAGACTCGAATGAGAAAATGTAGCATTCAAGACTTCAATAATGAAATACTTATACCAAAGGAACGTCAATAATAATATTGACAGTACTGACAATTTTAACAAGCATATCCGAAATAATCTTCCATTTCGCGTTTTTAGACCACTCCATTCCAGAGAACATAAAAACGACATAAATGGTATCAGAATCATAGTAAAAAATGCAGCTATTGAATGATTGATAGATATAACGTCATCAATTAAATAATAGAAATCCAATTAGGTATTTACAATTTTCATGAAAACTCATACTATGGTAATTGAACTGAAAAGGTACTATTAGGAGTAGTTTTTTCACTTTGGAAATATTTGTATGTTATTCCGTGCTGAAAGGGGAGTGTCAACTTTGTGTTCTCAAATGAAAGAGAAAGTGTTTTGAAAACTTTTGTTGGAGGTTTTTCGATTATTCGATTAACCCTGGTTCTTGGACTTGGACCCTGGTTGGCTCCAGGTCATTCTGATGTCTGGTATCACTCACAGATATTTAATCACCCTGACAGTTGTATCTCAGGTGGTCCTCTTGGACCACCTTGAACGTCGAATGCATCACTCAGGTCGTGAAAATAACATGAAGATTGGTGAAGTATTTGTCAAGCAGAGTGTCAAATTGATCTTGTTTTTATTTTGCATATACAAAATTTATGACTTCAACATTAAATGAATCAAATGGATAAAAGTCCTTTCAGATACCTGAATATCCAATCAGAGTTATCGAGTAACACAAATTTCTCCTTTTAAAGACAGAAATATTTGAAATAGTAGACACATTTCACATAGACGAATTCATCGGAGGTTTGCGTGACAGTCGAATAGAGAGCAGCTATTACAACATAATCATTAGATTCACCATTTAAGAGGTTAAACTCGAATCTCAGGTTTAGAATAAGTCCAAAACAAGTACATTTTTCAATCACCAGACATGTAATACTCTTCTCGACGCGCGTTTTACCAATCAAGTTGGTGTCTTCAGATGATGAAGAAAACTTAATTTCTTCTGAGGTCCATCTCGATGAATCATTTTGGGCCTGCCGCATACGTATGTCGTCTGCATAGCCTAGTTGCCTAGTACTTTATATCCATTATTATCTACAAGATGTAATAAGAAAAGGATTGAAAGCATAAAACACATCTTTACGATTATTTTTATAATTTTTTCATGCATTGAATAATTGTGTAATTCATTTTATTATTTATTGCAACAATTTGTCCTCGTATAGTATCTCGAAGATGCAAACAGTCCAAAAACAAAGATCTGTATTGAAATTCTTGGAACGTTGAAAAATTGTAACAAATCAAGGCACTTCTTTTATTTTCCTTGTTTTTCGTTTACGTTTGTAAAAATGGCATGATGGATTCAGAGAAAATATGATTTGCGTATTCTCATTTGAAATTTCCTTTTATGTACTCTGTATGCTACACGAAATATGTGAAATGAAATTTGTACTGGATATATTAACAAACTTTATTTTTCAGTTTTATCATAGGATAGCAATATATTTAACAAATTTAGAGAGTCCAAGAACTCAGACGGAATACGAAGATTCCTATACCTTTAAGATTTTCTTATTCGAATTTATGAACTTTTATTCTTCTTTAATATACATTGCGTTTTTCAAGGTGAGAAGATTTTTTCAAAATTCAATATTCGAGTAACATCCAGTATTTTTCAGGGTAGATTTTTTGAATATCCAGGTGATACTGTAAGTCGAAGATCGGAGTTTTTTCGAGTGAAGGGTGATATATGTGATCCAGCAGGATGTTTGAGCGAGTTGTGTATTCAGTTATCGATAATAATGATTGGCAAACAGGTTTTCAACAACTTTGTCGAACTATTCAATCCGTAAGTTTTCTTTTACTTTTTTTCTGATATTATAATTAATTGAAAATGACTGTTTCGTTCGTTCAGCAGTTTTTTGTTACTGTTGAATCTTAAATTCTATTGGAATTTATCTAAAATGAATGGAATATGTGGTTTGAAAAACAAATAGAATCAATGAAGTATTTTCCTTGGAGGTTCACAGAAACAGCTTCTATTCAATGATTTTCATTTTCAAACTTTTTTAAATCCTACTGATATTATTATTCAGGACTGAATTATCATCTTATATGTCTCTGAAAACAGTATGCAACTCAGTTCTTTACCTCCGACAGAGGATTCAGCAGAATCACATATAGAAAGAGTTTACTTGCACGTTCAACAGTAGAGAAATATACTCTAATATATCCTGAAGAATGGAATTGGCATAATGATAAAAATGAAAAGACTTGTAAATGTTATTAAAAAATGTTTCTTTGAAGGCATGTATTCTTCAAATAAATAATGGGCTGGAGCATAATTTATACATCTATGTTTTTCTTAAACGCTTTAGTTCCGTCATTATCACACCCATCAAAAATAACTTTAACGTTAATACCATAGTTATCACTTGAATATCTATTGTATGATAAGAACAACCCTTCAATAAAGAATAACCCTTCAATAACTAATTGCTTTCAAATTCAGTGAAAGTGACAACCGCACGTTACGATTCTTGTTGAGTTTCATTAAATTCGACAGCACTTTATTATTTGTTCAGTAAAACCATATTTTATGTTCCATTCTTCAACTCCGGTATCAGACAATTAGAATTTTCCAGTAGGTATGCAAAATATTAGACGGAGCCATTCAAAATTTGGGGTTGACATTCATAATTACCATAAAATTATTATTAGATAATTCTCTTTTTCTTCAATGTATAATAATAATACTAATAATGGCTTCTATTGATGGTTCCATACAATTACAACCAATCAAATGGCAGGGTTCAATATCTGCATAAGATAAATCATCGTAAAGATTGCTATTTCATCCAACCTTAAGAACAAAAGAAATGAAAAAAAAGTATGGTATCAAGAACAGTGCAAACAGTATTTACAGCAAAATTGAAATACAAAATATGCAGGTATATTTTTTTGAGCTTAGAGAAAGGTTGATTGATTTAGGGATAATTCGATTAGTTGAATATATTTATTTTAAGAAGATATCTTTGTATCTTTCGATTGAAGCTTCCTATTGGCAGAGATTTATATTCAATGTGTATTCGATTATGTGAGTAGGCAATATGGTAAGTGAAAGATCCGCGACATAGAGAAGTTTTGTGGAATTGTTAAATGTGTCCTGAATCTCAAGTTATGATGGTGTATGTCAGTTCTGAAGGACAGTGTTTGAAAAGATGAGAGGGTTTTTTTGTTTTGGGGAGTTTTTGAAGAAATGTTGCAGAATTAATTGTTCGTCTGGATTCCATATTCAACCAACCCACATTCCAGAACAGATGTGAAATATGTTCTAGTTTCTTCGTACCCGTGATGAACATAATACATACATGCATTCTGGAGCTTTTGGATTATAAAACTGTTACTCTTCAAATTTCCCAGACCATACACTACGTCTGGTAGTTGGCATGTGGAAGAACTAAAGCATCGCAGAGTACAATTTTACTTTTTTCATTCAGAAATACTCTGTTGGAATATATCATTCACAAATTTTCACAACCCCGTTTCAGAATTTGCAAGATGTGTGTTTTAAAACGAAGACTGTTGTCAAGATAAAGGCCCAAGTTTTTGTAACTCCTTTCAAGGGAAGTTCTGTTCCACCTATCACAATATTTATGAGGCCAGAACAACGACTTCTCGTCACTGTTCTACCAAAGAGCATGACATTAGATTTAACAGATAGGCAATATTCAGTTGATATCGAGGTCGGTATTAATTTGCCATAGGACCTCGTTAATTGAATTATCGTCGAATTCCATGTACAGCTGAGTATCGGCATAACAATGCATGGTTGCAAATTGCAGTGACCTATGAAATTGAGAAGTGTATGAAAAGAACAAGGTAGGGTCCAATATTGAACCGTGAGGAACACTGTTTTAAAGAGGAGTTCATAGTGCATTTGATCAAACGCCAATAATATCAGAAGACACAGTTTGTTATCATCAATAGATCTGTGTACATCATCCACAACGTTCAGGAGGGCAGTCGTACAACTGTGGTTAGGCCTGAACTCTGATTGACACTCGAAGTCGTTTAGATACTCACGCATTTTTTCAACAACTTTTGATATCGCACATGCATTGGCTGGATAAGATGCATTGGCTGGAGATTGCATAAACTTTCGGGGCTAGAATTTTTGGCCAACGGAAGAACATTTGCTTGCTTCCAGATGGATGGATAAGAATTAGTCGATATGCAGTGATTGAAAAAGTGAGTGATATGTGGAAGGATTGAGGGGCAGCAGTAGAGAAACATTTTAATGCTTAGGTATCTCATCATGTACTAGAGCATTCGAGTTCATGTTCAGAATAAACTTATAGATTTCATCGTCATCAGTAGCTTGATACGAGAAGTTGAGATTGTTTATATTATTACCTGAAATAAAATTCGAAGCTTCATTATCAGGGGAAGTTGGACATACTTCCAAAAAATTTGTTGATATTTTCAACGTTCAGTAGGTTGGTTTGGAATGGGTTTGAGATTTCTTTTATTGTGAATCATCAAATTGGATAAATCTTTCCATACCTTCTTATTTCTTGTAAGCAGATGATTGAGATATGCCTTTTCTTCAGGTTTACAGTGCCATTGGTTAAATTCCTCAACTGTTTGTAATAATCCCAGAGACACCTCAACTTTGTCTATTGAAATCTCGCAAGAGCTCTATCCATCAGTTTAAACATGAGTTTCAGGTTGTCTGTGAGGCAAGGGGCCCTTTTCTTAGAAATTTGAACAGTTTCAATAAGAGAATGTTTCTCAAGAAGATCGATTAATATCCCATTGAAAAGAGTCAATTCGTCATTGATATTTTTTTTTGGATGTGGAGAAGAGAACGAAAATCCGCTGCCTGCAGATATAATGAAAAAAGATCTAAATTAAATTTGCTGAAGTCTCTATAGGTGTGCATGAAACCCTTATATGCTTTTAAGCCCACCTATCATGTAAACAAAAGTTCTCATTGAATAAATGCAAACGTTGACTGTTTTGTCTTTCTTTTTCACTGAAAAAAATTATGCTTTATAAAAATATGTGTTTTATTACATATATTATTGATGATGCATGCGAATTCGTTCGCCGTCCCAATTGCAGGTCTAACTACATTAAAATGTAAATTAATATACTATGATTCCAAAACAGTAGTCACTGAATTCTCAGAAATTACTGACGTTTTTGCCTTAATGTGTCTCTTGTAGTGACTTAAGGAAATTATGCCAAACAGATGAGAAAAAATGATGATGAAATATGTAGAATCACAACCTTGACAACAATGTTTTTGTTTTGATGCAATAATATTCCTGAGAATTCAGAGTCTACTATTATGGAATTGTACTATCGTGGATTCTTGGTCTGTCAATGAAAATATTGCACACTACATACTAATATTTTTGATATACATCAAATCTAAATGATGAACTTTTTTATAAATTATTGTGACAACTTTTTGATTGTTAGGCGTGTTGTAGAATATTTATGAGAATAACTCAAATTAGGTGTGGTGCTTGAGTTTGAAGAAAACCCACATACATCGAGTAAACTTGCATCCACTACATTCAATGTTAGCCATACATCGATAGTAAACATATTAAAATAAAATGAAATGCATCCCTATAAAATGATGACTACTTAGGAGCCCATGAAAGACGATTTTGATTGAACTTTTTTTGTGAGCAAATGATGGACATATTGGATAACAATATTATCCAATTACAAGACGTTATGTTTTCTGATGAGTGTACTTTGTCTCTTAACAGTAATGTTAATCGGCAAAATTGCCGCTACTGTTCAACGGAAAATCCTCACTGGATGAGAGAAGAACACACGCAATACCCTCAAAAGGTTAATGTTTGGGCAGGGATTGTTAAAAACTATATCATTGGTCCCTTTTTCATTGAAAGCAACTTGCATAGCGATAATTATTTGGCACTATTTCAAAATGATCTAATTCCAAGTTTTGCAAATTTATATCTTGATTCAGGAAAACCCCAAAGAATACGATATGGTTTCAGCAGGATGGAACACCACCACATTACCAAGTTAATGTCCAGTAATATCTCTATACCACATTTCCCAATCGGTGGATAGGAAGGCGAGGATCGATTGAATGGCCAGCGCGATCACCTGCTTTTTCATCATTAGATTCCTTTTTATGGGGATATGTTAAGGGCAATGTGTGCAAAACTAAACCTACGAATAACGCCTGCGATTAGGTCGGTCACGCCCGATATCCTCAATAATGTTAGAAGATAGTTTTATTTGAGACTAGCTGTTGCCCGCGGTCTCGCCCGCGTAGAATTTGGTAGTTGTAGTACTGATTAGTACTATGTTGTTGTATCGCTGCTGTTCCAAAGTTTTGACAGAATCAGAATCAACGAACTTAGGCGTGCGCAGTGTTATAGAACAGTGCTTTCAAAAAATTGTTCTACGGCGAGTTACAGAAAAACTGATAGCCTAAAAACCTTCTCTATGAAAAATTGCTTATACATGTCAAGTTTCATCACGATCGGTTGAGCGATGTGGAAGTTTATCACTTACCAACCAACCAACCAACCAACAAACATCCATGTTTATATATTAGACTAGTTGTTGCCCACGGCTTCGCCCGCGTAGAATTTGGTAGTTTTAGTACTAATTAGTACTATGTTGCTGTATCGCTGTTGTTCCAATATTTTGACAGACGCAGAATCAACGAACTTAGGCGTGCGCAGCGTTATAGAACAGTGCTTTCAAAAAATTGTTCTACAGCGCCATCTAGTGGAGAGTTACAGAAAAATTGATAGCCTAAAAACCTTCTCTATGAAAAATTACTTATACATGTCAAGTTTCATCACGATCGGTTGAGCGATGTAGAAGTTTATCACTTACCAATCAACCAATCAACCAACCAACAAACATCCATTTTTATATATTAGATTAGGATGTTGTTAAGACGTGAATATTTTGAACATCTATTTCGTTAACATCCATGGTTATTTTTCGTATTCTACATTTCATTACATTTTGTATTACATTTTAGTTTTTGAGTGTATTTTATCGAGTTTCGGTAACCACATGATTNGAAAGCGATAACCTTTCTGAATAGAGAGTGAAGAAATCTTTCAAACGATGTATCACAATCCTACTTCCCAATAGAAAAAATTGGGGGTTGTACATTTCAGTCGAAGGGGGTTGAAGGTAGGGGTGGCATTTTTACGTTGAAGAATGTCGAATTATAATTTACATCTGACATGTTTAGGATTTTTTTTAAATATGTACATTAACAGAAATCGTGAATTTATTCCATTTGGCTTTTACACACTGTATATAACCATATAGTTTACGACAGGTTTATTAGAATTTTGAATCACATAACTGCTATAACTGAGTTATAAATTTATTCGTGATGTGGACAGTTGAAGATATATTTTGGTTCTTTGATTTTGAATACAGAAATATTGGAAATGCTAACAATATGAAATTGATATTCATCCAGAATTTCTGAATGTACAAAACCGCCGAAGGTCCATCCTATACGACTCCATTTTTTTTTCGAAATCTAGACTTCTTTCCGTGTTCATGAGTTTTTTTCTGGACATCGACTTTTTCTCGGGACCTCGCCTTTTAGATAAGCTGAACAAAACACCGATATTTCGGGAACATGTTGTGTTCTTGAGAAAAAGGTAATCTCGAGAAACAAGTAGAGACATGAAAACTGGAGGGTGATCCTTGTGAGAATTTGTATGGTTAGATAGGTATTGTATAATTTATTCAATTTGAATTTGTTTTTTTGTTGTTGTTGTTTGTTTAAATGTGCAAAATATTTTCAGAGCATTCTCTAACTGGTGGAGGCGGAGGTCTCATCGATCTAATACCAAAGATTTATCGAGGAAGCATACAAGATGGGAAGAGGATTATCATCTTCAAGATCCTGGCCGATTGGCATTATTTGACGAGTATCTGGAAATGAGTGAGTAGATGTTTCTTCATTATTTCATTAGGCGAAGTTTATAAAACATTCAAACTTTCACAGGTATCAATTATACATAAATCAAGATGGTTTTTCGCAAATAATATTTTAATTATATTTCATTTTTAAATATATCTCAATGAATGTAAAACACTTAAAACTACGAAAATAATATTATATTACTCATATTTATTCAATTCGTGTTTTATTTTTTCCTTAACATTTGGTAGGAGTGTTTTTGATTTTCATCGGTAGTTTATTGAAAAGTTTTGGGTCTATTATACAATTTCAACCGTATAAGGTACTGTAGCTTCAGTTTTTCGGCTAGTATCATATGTGTGTTCAATATATCCTGAAGACATTTTGGGAAAGAGAGGTTTTGGCTGTCTACTTCTCCATCTCCATCAAAGATATTTTATTTTTATATTTTCACAGACAGATGCTATTCACATACAACTGAGACATATTCATTGTATCTGTTTATTGATAGAGATCATGAGAAGAACGTTTTCATTGGTTTCTTATATATCATCCTGATAATACATTTTTGAATACTTTCTGAGATTTCAACTGGAGTTTTTGAAACTATCTTTCATGATATGATTATGTGAAGGAGATAACATTCAAGAATAGCATAATACACTCCGATACTTATGGTGATTATTTGCAGAAATATTTTTGAATTTGCATATCATAAGGCGCAATATTTCAACAACAAAAAGTGATCTTTCCACCGTAAACGACTATACATGTATATACCAAAGTATTTCGAATTCATTTTCATCATTACATCGCATAATTGATTCATTATAAGCTGCTATGTGTGATGTGCTACGTTTCGAAAGTCCATCTCAATGATTTCCCAATCGAAAGGTTGGTAGAGAATAGCAATATCACCTGCAAAACTCGTAGACCTGTTGATTTTGACACAATGTATAAAGTTTTTTTTGGTCAACGGTAATCGAATGAATGAAGATAATAAAATAATTACTCAACTAAAATTTGATGACCTGAATAATCAAAATTAATTTAATATTGAGATGTTTATATGAATTATAGAATACCTGTGTAAATGAAACTTTCTATCTTTTTTACCACTTTTATTTGTAACTAACGTTATTGCAGTTTCGTCCTATACGGACATTTTCAAACTTAAAACAATAAACTAACACTGTTTCATTACATTTTCCATTATATATCATACCTGTAGGTACTAATAGAGGTACTTGGCTTGATTGAGTACCTGAATTTACAGTTTACAATGCGGATGTGCCAATTTAAAACTGGCGAGTAAACTAAATCGATTTGATCATTTAACAGGTTGCACCCCCAATGTTTATGCTTGTGAATTTCCAAGGATTCTAAATAATTGAGTTTGTGAACCTTCCTTGCATAGTGCAAAATTTCCGTAAAATTCGGAAACTTGTGGTTGCATGCCAAGGAATGGTTTGCAAACGTCGAATCATTTTTCCCAGTCTGAAGGTCCTTTTATGTTTAGCATACCGTTTTTGTGAATTTCGGCCACATTATCCCACATAAACATTATTACACTACGAACACTTAAGCTTATGAACTCCAGATTTCTCCAACTTGTCCACCTTATCTTTGGCATTGAAAAGGAAATGAGACAACCTGGCATGTGGTCTGAATGCCACTTCCACATTGTTTTTCTGAAGAAACCCGCAATTACCTCTGTTCTTTTTCCAAAATATGAGAGTTACCTATTTCTTGATTTCTGGTTGTTTGACCTGGGGGTATATTAATCTGTAAGTGAATTTCCGGCTTTGTTTCCTGACTAACTTCTTGATAGTATCTACGTTGAAACCATTATTATGACCTATCTGTATAATTATATCAATTTCCCTAGCTAGATTGTTAGCAGTGAGAATGTTCTGTGCAACCTTGAATTGAAGGCTGCTAATTTATGACTGTCTGGATGGAAAGAATCGCTTGGGATGGTGATGTCTGTATAGCTAGGTTTTCTGGAAACGTTGAAATCAAATATATTCAGATTTTGTGTAATCGTCTGGTCTAAGAAATTTATCTGTTTCTCTATCTCTGTTTCGAGTGTGAACTGAATGTTGCTATTAAGATTATGCATGAATGTCATAAATTGGTTCAGCTGTCGTGTAGTACCTCTTTAACAGGGGCTCACCCCTTAGTCCACTTTCAGCAGACATATTTATGAACAACTTGGAGACCACTCTAGTGAATTCCGACCTGGGTAAAAAACATATCCATCTTGGGTACAGATATGTAGACGATATTCTCGCCTGTTTCAGAGGTATTACACGACAGCTGAACCAATTTATGACATTCATGAATAATCTCAATAAAAACATTCAGTTCACACTCGAAACAGAGATAGAGAAACAGATAAATTTCTCAGACCTGACCGTTACACACAATCAGAATAAATTTGAGTTAAATGTTTTCAAAAAACCTAGCTGTACATACATTACCATCCCCAGCGATTCTTTCCATCCAGACAGTCATAAATTCAATGTTGCACAGAGCAATTCTCACTGCCTTTGTCTGCTAACAATCTAGCTAGGGAAATTGATATAATTACACAGATAGATCATAATGATTTCAACGCAGATACTAAGTGTCCGGAGTGTAATACTGTTTATGTGTGACAATGTGGCCGAAATTTCCAAAAACGGTATGCTGAACATAAAGGGCCCTTCAGACTAGGAAAAAATGATTCGACGTTTTCAAACCATTCCTTGGCATGCAACCACAAGTTTCAGAATCTAAACGAAACGGAAATTTTGCACTATGCAAGAAAGGGTTAAAAACTCAATTATTTAGAATTCTTGGGAATTTACAAGCATAAACATTGCGGGTGCAACCTGTTAAATGATCAAATCGATTCAGTTTACTCGACGGTTTTTAAATTGGCACATCCGCATTGTACACTGTAAATTCAGGTACTCAATCAAGCCAAGTACCTCTATTAGTACCAACGGTGGTGGTATATAATGAATAATGTAATGAACCATTGTTAGTCCACCCCAGCCAGGTAGGGGTATCCCGTGAAGGGCGGCACTGATGTCTAAGGACTTCATGCCGTCACCTATTCAGTCATGAACCCATTGGTCCCTCTCAAGACCAACAATCAGCCAAAAGGGTAGGGGAGCTGGTCTCCAAACCTGGATGAATTGACGATGACATTCTGACCATTGTTAGTTTATTGTATAAGTTTGAAAATGTCCGTATAGGACGAAACTGCAGTAACGTTAGTTACAAATAAAAGTGGTAAAAAACATAGAAAGTTTCATTTCTCTTTTCTTCGTCCTAGTATCTTCTGATTTTTATATCGACTTAACCTTACCTCACCTTCTCTCCTCGTAGGTTATTTATGTATTTTTCAGTTCTTCAGTATGGCTTCGTAACTCTATTTGTAGCAGCCTTTCCGTTAGCTCCATTGTGTGCCCTATTGAACAATATTGCTGAAATTAGATTGGATGCATACAAAATGGTAACACAAGCAAGAAGGCCACTGGCTGAGAGAGTTGAGGATATTGGAGCTTGGTACGGAATATTGAGAGCTATAACTTACGCTGCTGTTGTATCAAATGTGAGTTCCGAATTGTTTTACATCTCATACAAATATATCATTACAGTACTTATGAAGAGTTTGTCGATTAGACGTTTTATCCGAAACTCTAATTCATTCAAATAGTTTACTAAAGACAGCATTTCATCAAGCACTCCTATGACCAGAACAGAATAATCTTGAAAGGGTGTGAACAGTTCGAAGAGTCAATCTCGATACTTCAGAGCTGAAAACTATTTGACAAATACGCTGTCTCTTTGATGATCGAGAAGGACTACAAGAAGCTTATTTATTAGTTTGTATATGTAAGAGTTTGGAAAATAAGTAGTGACAATGAATTCGTCATTTCCCATTACTCACAAAAAATTCAATAATTGCATATTATTTCGATAATTATTATTGGTACCGAATATTTTTCAAATTCCATTCTCAAATCTGAGTTTACTGTTTCAAATTTTATACACAGGGTGTTTAATAAACATGCGGCAAAAAATTAGGGGACTATTCCAGGGTTATTTTGTCCTCTGATGATATTTGATAAAGCGTTTTGTTTCGAAGATACGGGGCGGAAAATAATTTCAACAATAACAATTTTTGTGATTTCAAAATTATTAAAGTAGACAAAATAAAAGTAAAGCGTGCTACACTGAACCTACCAAGTAATAGGGGCAACCTAAAGTCATTAGTTTATAGTACTCCAGTGAAAGATGTGGAAGATTTGAGAAATCAGATAATTGCTGGGTGTAAGGCAATCAGAAACAATCCTGGTGTTTTTGAAAGAGTTCGGGAGTTGATGAGGAGAAGATTGGATTCTTGCATGTTAGTAATTTTCAACAATTCTTGTAGATTTAGAAACACTATATGTAATTTTTGATAATGAATTTTTATTGTCGAAATTCTTTTTCGCTCCGTATCTTCGAAACGTAGCGCCCTATCAAAAATCATCAAAGGACAAAATATCCTCAGAATAGTCCAAGAAATAGTCCATTGAATTTTGCCACATGTTCAATGAACACCGTATGTTAATTTTCTACTAAATTAGGAAATGTTGATTCCATTATATCTATTTGAATATTTTGTGGAAAATAAACTATTGTTAGGGTTACTAATTTCCATTTTTTCTGCATATTTTGTATTTTTTTCATATTAATGGTAATCAAAAATCTATAAATTAACATGCAGTCAATTATATTATACCTTGTTTATATATCATTAGTATGTTATTATGAAACATTACGAAATCAGAATACATGCATTATTTCTTGGGCGTGAGAAACAAAAAACATACATGGAAATCCTGCTTTTAGTAATTTAAAAAAATTCATAACCATTCCTTTATTATATTATCTATTAACGAATTTAAATGATTTTCAGGGTTTTGTGATCGCGTATACTAGTGATTTCATTCCACGATTGGTTTATCAGTTCAAATATTCTCCTACTGACGATTTGACTGGTTACATAGACGCTTCCTTATCAAGTATTTGAAAATGTTTTCAGTCTTTCTTTAGATTTCATTATAAGTACATTTTCAGTGTTCAACACTTCGGATTATCGAGAAGATATGAGAGGGGACGATGAAAATCCTCCAGAAATGTGTCAATATAGAGGTAAGTTGAACTAAGTGGGGTAGGTCCAATCGATCATCCACAGCAACCCACGAAGGATGATTGTGGCTAACATCTATTCAAATTTATTTGAAATAAGATAAATATTTCGAAATGAAATCTCGAAAAACCAACTACTACAAAAACCAACAACTTTTTCAGCTAAAACCACTCTGAACATTGAATTATAACCGACAGACACAGACGTTGGTGGAACCAAATGTGCCAACTCACTTCGTCACTTTCCGTGAAAGAGAGACTAATCTCCAACTTTTCTTCGATGTTCCAGACTATCAAGGTTGCAGGTGATATTCGCTTCTCCATTCAGGCAGATGACTTTTTTATGGATGGAGCCCAGCAGTTTCAGGGTATGAGCTCCATTCATGAAAACAATATTCCATAGAAGGTCTGATCTAAGCTTTATGAAGCATCAAAAGTTGCTGAGGAGTGTAGTTTTCTGGTTCGGAACAGTGTTCCAATCTTTTGAAAAGCATCCTTTGTAATTCCAGCGACATAATTGTGCCAAGACATATTGGTGTCTATCCTGATTTCATTATATCCAATTCGGAGACATTAATCTTTTTGAAAAAAAACGGCGCCTGGGTTTTTGTAGTATTGAATTGAACCTGGGTACTTTTACCTCAATTCGAAATCACTTCTAGATCCTCATTAAGATATGCAACCTCCTGCTGCCAGTGAAGCGTTGATGGTAAAAGTATTCGAGGTATATCCATTGACGGCGACTTGCAGGAAACGTTCTTTCAGAAAGCTGGAGAGCCATAAACAAAATAGGTTTACTGTGACAAATGTCAGGAAGATGCTCTCGCAAAGCTGCAGGGTACTTACTGCATTCATAGGCAAGGAGACAATCTTCTGGTCCTCTCAGGTAGCCTGCATCGACTTCAGCTAGCCATATTTATCTCGGCCGCAATGTTCAGCTCTGGAATCATAGGTATCTTCTTAAAAATCTTCTACGGCAGACATAATGGCATTCCGAAGAGATTCCAATTGATTAGTCGATATTTTGAGATTGTTGGATGTTCAAGGTGAGAGCTGTTGAAATTTCATGATATTCTACTCATGAGTTTCTGAGTTATTGTGCTAAGAGCGACACTATTTTTGTTATTTTTAAAACAATGATCAAAACAATTTCGTGTTTTCATTTTACACTGTTTCTTAATGGGAAAATTTACCGTTCAACCGAAGCAATAGCTTGAAAAGTGTTATGGGGACTCCGCTCCATCAGAAACAACAATTAAACGTTGGTTTGCTGACTTCAAACGTGGTCGTAGAGATACCCACGATGCAGAACGCAGTGAACGTCCAAATGAGTACCACCAGAAAACATTAAAAAATCCACAAAATCGTTTTGAATGATCGAAAAGTGAAGTTGCGTGAGTTATCTGACATTGTAAAGGTATCAAAAGAACGTGTTGGCTTCTTATTGCATGAGCATTTGACCATGAGAAAGCTCTGTTCAAAGTGGGTGCCGCGCGAGCTCACTGTTGACCAAAAACAAGAACGTCATTCATCATCTCCTTTACCTCACTTCGAAATGAAATTGATCGTGATCTGAGTGGAGAGCAACTGGTGAACCTCGTCCTAAGCGCTCACAGCACAACGATTGGCTGAAAAGGTAATGGCCTCGGTATTTTGGGATGTGCGTGATATAATATCTGTTTAAAGAAATCTGTTTCTCCGTTAACCAGTTGTCGAAACTTGTGCGAGCTAAATATTAACGAGGACTTAACTTTTAACGTGTGATTCCTAACACAAGTTGGACGATAGCAAGTGAAAATCGATCGTTCATCCTGGGGCTTGAACCCCCGAGCAACTCGGCAATCAATTCGAGTGAGTGAACAAAGCACCCGCGCCGAACCGACCGTCTATCGACCGATCATATAGTGTTATTGGAGCGTTTGAAGGCTGAAATTGCAAAGAAATGATTGTATATGGCAAAAAAAATTGTTGTTTCATCAAGACAACGCACCGTGTCACAAGTCAATCAAAATAATAGCAAAACTACATCAATTGAACTTCGAATTGCTCCCACATCCACCGTATTCGCCAGATTTGGCTTCCAGCGACTACTGCCTGTTCGCAGACTTTGAAAAAATGCTCACCGGTGAGAATTTTTGCTCTTTGTGAAGCTCTTGCTGCCTTCTAGCCAAAGTCTGTTCAACCATCACTTTGGAGTAACCATTCCGTTGAAGGTCATTTTGGATGAAGCCTAGTTCATTTTCCAGACCTTCTTTTTATTACAGAACCCGAAATTACGGTCTACTGGAGTCTTGATAATTCCTCTCTTAATTGATTGATGGTGGTTGGTTCAGATACCGTCCTGTGTGAGTAGGTTTCATTGGAAAACAGCTTTGTTCACTCTGTGTATTATTTCAGTTTTTTTTTGACTCATTGAAATATGTCTTATGTTTTCATAGAAACGATATGTTATTGATTAAAAAAATATAAAAATAATAAAACAAAAAGTTTGAGAAGTTGTTTCAACTGATTTTTCAATTGCAAATCTTCTGTATTTCTGCCAAATCCAAAAGATTATGCGCCCAGTACACTTAACTGTGTTCTGAAAAATCCTGTAAATAAGTTTTGCACAAGTTTATTTTGCAGAAAAGTGTCACTGTCACATCGAGTTATACTTCTGGTTCTAACAAGCTAAGAAAGTGAGTAAAGATGGACAAGCTGAGGTTTCTTCACATCCAAAAGTTTGAAGGAACTAATTTCCACCTCTGGAAGTATCAGATGCAACGCCGAAGGACTTCTGAACCTGGTTGACGGACAGAAACAAAAGCCTGCAACCACAGATAATGAAAAGGAAAAGAGAGAATGGGAAGAATCTAATTTGAAGGCCATGCTTATCATATCAACAGCAATGGAATTCGATCAATTACAGACTGTGATGAGTTGTGAAACAACACCAGAAATGTGGAGTCGACTAAAAATCATTCATGAACAACGGTCGTCAGTTAATAAGGTGATGCTGAAGCAAAAGTTGTTTAACTATAGAATGTCCGAAATTGATAGTATTGCTCAGCACATTAGCAAAATCGAATCAATGGCACAAGCTCTTGCTGACGTAGGTGAACAGATTTCCGATATCGACAAAATAGCTAAAGTTTTGGGAAGTCTTCCTGCCAAATATGGATCCTTCATCACAGCGTGGAATTCCTATGATGAAACCAA